TATTGCCTGCATGTATGTGAGTGCACCCATGTTGTGCAATGCTGTGGAGGTCAGAAGAGGGCTTCAGATTCCCCTGGAACTGGAGTTAAGGATGGTTCGTAGCTGCCATGTGGGTGCTGGGAATCGAACCCAGGTCCTCTGCAAGAAGAGTCAGTGCTCTTAACCACTGAGCCATCTCTCCAGACCCAATAATAAAATGTTTTTAAAAATACAGTTATTTGATATCAGATATGACAGTACACGTCTGTAAACCCAGTACTTGGGAGGTGGAGGCAGGAGAACCAAGAGTTCAAGATCATTCTCAGCTACATAATAAGTTCAAGGTCATTCTGGGCTACATGGGATCCTGACTCAAAAAATGAAACAAAACAAAAAAGGAAGATAAAGGAGGAGCAGGTGGGGGGGTCATATATGTATGTGTGTACGTTTATATGCAGATATAAGTATCCTAATTGCTACTAACAGCAATTATATATAAATTATTTAATCGTCATACCAAAATTAACATATTCTCACACTGATATTTATTTAAATACCTGGTAATGCTTGGGATTGAGGGTAATTGCCCGATTAAAATCCAGAATTGAATTATCCCTGTTGAGTTTTATTTTACAAAGCCCTCGTTGATAAAAGGCTTCTGCAAATTCAGGATTTGCCTTCACAGATTTTGTAAAAGAATCAAAAGCCTGGAAAAGTATATTTAAGCACACACCACTTAGTGACAGGATACATCATTTTAAAAGATTAATAAAGAATGGCATGTAACTGTTACTGAAAAGCTTCACTCTAATTTTGGGTAGTTTAAAATATACCCTCTCATTGAACCTTGTAGAATGAACAAGTGTAATCCTTAAGAATAAGTCAGATTTTGACCCCGTATTTCCAGACAAATATCTACACAATCCATGTTGCTAGACTACAGTACTTAGAAGTTTAATTTTAATCATTATTCTTTGGATTTCATTCATTCAAAGAAACCACAGACAGCAACATTCATTTCCGATAATGGTCCAAGAACTGTAGCAGAAACATGCTTAGGAAATTTCAAGGTAAATGGATGCCGAAGCTATTTAAATCTGGCCATCTTAACTAGTCTCAGTTATCAATAAAGAAAGCCAAAGGATGCTCTAATCGTTTTCCATTTATTCTTCAGCACATTGAAAGACTCAGTTTAACTCACTATAATTTAATATATCATATTAGTGTGATGAAATTGTTTTGCTATGGTAATTTCCTACAGTTAAAGTTACTATTTTTGTGAGAAACACATACTAGCCTTAAAATATTGTTGACAAAACTAGCATTGAATAAAATGTCTTGATTAAATCAAACAATCCGTGAGAACTGGGCGTAGACTGCCTGAAAGAAGCAAAGCTTTAGAAGGAACTTTGTTCTGCTCCCTTTCTGCCCTGCACCTAGAGAGCTTTCAGAAACAGAACTGAGGAAAAGCAACCAGTGTGTAAAGTCACAAATCATGTATGCTTCTAAACACACAAGTACCATTTGTAAGCTTCCTTCCTCCATGTAGCAGAGACCCAGGTTATAAAGACAGTCCGCTGAAATAGCAGTGGCATGAGGTCCTTTGTCGGAATGAGCATATATTTCCAACGCCTTCTTAAATATTCTCACAGCTTCCTATAACGATTTAAAAAGAAGGATGAAGGGAATATTTCTCCCAAATATTTGTTTAACATGTCGTCCTTAAACATAAAGAGAACTCAGAGGCCACCTTAGCTCTTCTCCCACGTCACAGATGCACACAGATCTGGTAAAGTCACAGATACTCTCCTTACACAGCCGGAGGACCCTGTTGCAGAGGCTAAGCCTAACAAGTCCTACCCAGAGGTCCATCCTATAAACCAAGACTGAAGCACGCTTACTTATGCCCATGGACCTTTGTAACTTCTAAATTCTAAAGGCTACTTCTTTTTTTAATATAATATTGGGAAATTCTCATAAATGAATATTATATTTGCATCATTCCACCCTTTCCAGTTCCCCCTCCAGTTCCTCCCATGTCCCCCTCCCATGTCCCCCCCATGTTCTCCCTCTCAATTTCTTGTCCTCTTCTTTAATTATTACTATTACATATACGTATATGCATTTATATACATACATACATATGCATTCAATATATGTACTGAGTCGATTTTGTGGTGCTTGTGTGTACATGTGTTTAGGACTGATCACTTAAGATTAGATAAGTAGCCTCTGGAGATAAGTAGTAATATCTGGAGATATTAGATAAGTAGTCTCTGGAGAAAACTGATTCTCCCTCCCCAAGCATCCACTGATTGCCTGTAGCACTTCATCATGAGGTGGTACCCCATGAAATTTCCCCATCCACCTTGGCATGTCAACTGGTTTTTGTTGTTATGCAGATCCTGTTAGGCTACCATACTGTGGAGATTTCATGGGCCCGCTTCCCTATTATGGCTACAATGTGTTGCCATTCGCAGCAAGCGTCTTGTTCCTCTGGCTCTTACAACCTTTGCATGCCTCTTCCATGATGTTCTCTGAGAAAGGCTATTTCTTTACCTTCTTATGTTAGACTTAAATTTATGGAGTGGTTTATTACTAATTACCTTGCTATTTCCCTGAATGGAATGCTGGAAAGCTAGTAAGTAGTGAAAATATTGACAAATTTTAAGCATCCTTTAATATGTTATGCTGTGCTTTTAACAGGATCCTACTAGCTCTGGTCACTCACTTAAATATTATCAAAATAGTTAAAACCCATTAAAGAAGAAGTTTAATTTTTCCAATTTTCATTTAATGATTAACAAATCATTATATACATTCATACACAAATATCAACTTATTATTATTATTCTGCTTTAATTGTATTAAACTGTTAAAAAAAAAAAGCCATGAGATTCAATTTGAACATTCTTTGTCGTCGGCATTTCCTCACGTTTACAATGCATATCAACAACCATTCTTCCATCCTGACTCTCTGCATGTGACACTGCTATAGAAAAGTCAAATAAGCTTCCCTGTTTCCCATATTTCTGCTATTCAATGTACCAGTACCTCCAACCATCCCCTTTTTTCTTTTATCTTTGAATGGCTTCCTTTTCATTTCAGAGTTCAATCCTTAAACCCATCTCCTTCTGCCCTGTTTCCCCTCTCTTTTGGCAGTACACTGCCTCCTTGAGTCCATAAGTCTTGAGCTCATTCCAGCCTTCCATACCATCTGAACTAAAATGAACACATCCTCATTTCCCCTTGCTTTCCCTGTCTCTCCCATCTCTGTATTTTACAATGTCTTCTCAGGGAGATCTGAGAATGAATGTTCACAGCTAGGGCATGGTAACATCCAGAAAGCAGTACTGTGGCCATTGTAGATAGAAGTTTGGAGGAGTGTAACACTGTGGCTATAATTCATACAAATATATATGTACATACATCTTCATATTTACATATTCCAAATTAATACACTGACCACAGAAATAAAAATGGGAAGAGAATTTGAGAGATATAGAGACAATGAAAGCAAGATCAGGTAGAGGAGGATGAAGGATGATGGCAAGTTTCCAGCTAAAGAAACAGGGACCTGGACTAAGTAGAGGTCAAAGGAAATAGAAAGGATAATTTAGAAAGTCTCAAAGATTGACATCTTCAAAAATGGATGATAAATACTGAGAAATAAACACCGCAATTGCAACAAGAAAACATCGATGCAACAGGAACATGCATTCCAAACCAGAGTATAGCTGTTTCCTATTATGAAAAATCAAGTTTCCAGAAATTTATCAGCTTAAAAAGACATGTGTATTATCTAAAAGTTTTCATAGGTCAGAAAACTGGCAATGGCTTAGCTAAAGAACTACTGCTCTGGGTCCTATAGACCTACCATCATGATGTCAGTTCAACTGCTTCCTGGAGGCTTGACTGGGAGAAGCAACTTTCCAAGTTAATTTTCATTGCTAGAGGAATTCATTTCCTTGACACTCCAGGATGGAGAGCATTGACTTCTTGGTAGCTGATGACTGTCCTCGATCCCTAGCAGAGTCCCACAGTTACCTATACCCAAGCCACATGGCAATATGCAGGTGCTTTCTTCTAAGCCAGTTGAAGAATCTCTCTCCCCAATAAGACATAAGCAAGGGAGAGACATCTCATGTTTTCTAGAAGCAAGCCATTTGTCTTGCCCACAACCAAGAAATGGAATGAAATAACAACACGTGATTTGTAATTTGTTGAGAGGAATTTTAGATGTGTCTGCCACAGTCCACTGTCTGGCCTTCAATGGCTCCATATCACTGTTACATGTATGTACAACTCTCCATTCTAAGGGTTCAAAAGCCTCATCTCATTACTCCATTAGTTCAATTTCCAAAATCTTATCATTTTAATTAAGTCCAAGTATGGATGAAGGTTTGAATATTATCCATCCATTCTTGGGGCAAAATCCTCTCCATCTGTGTAACTGAGAAATTATAGGCACGAGTTATCTCTTATCAAAATACCCAACACACAGTGGGAAAGCACATAACAATATCCACAAACATTCCAGCTCAAAAACAAAGAACATGGAAGCTAAAAAGGCACCACTGGTCCATGGTGCCCTGAAGTACAACTAGGCAAATGTCTCTTGATTAGGCTCCAAGGCATGGGAATAGTTCTCCGTGGTCTTAGTCCTGTCCTATTTGTTCTTGGTATGGACCTCTAGATCATCCTTTCTTTGGATAAAACCTTCAATGTGTTTGCAACTGAGTTGCTCTTTGAAACTGTTTCCTACCACCAGTATAATTTGAAGGCCTTAGGCCCTTTCATATGCTTTCTCATACATAGATTCTCTCTGTCTCTGTCTCTGTCTCTCTCTCTCCCATCTCCCTCCCTCTCTCAACCCCCTCTCTCCCATCTATCCCTCTCCCTCCCTCTTTCCATAATAGTTTCTGAAGTAATAATTTTATTAAGAACTTTGAAGACCTTTCACACATTCCACAAGCATTCATACCCTCTGTTAGACAAAGATACATCCAGTCACTGTTTTACTTTAACCTCTTGCTGGGATCCCTGAGAAGCAAAATCCTTAAAATTCCAGAAATCCTTTGATTTAGTTGTATTTTGTAAGGCATATTCTTAAACATCTTCCAACATCTACCTTAATGGCTACTTATATACTTCCTTGTACTAAAATTTGTATTACTTTTCTACTACTGCAGGAAAAAAAAAACAATGCCTTTGAAATAACACATATTTATAATCTGTTTCCAGGATGAGGGATCAGTGCATAGATTAACTGAGTCTTCTGCTCTGGTTCCCATGTGCCACAATAGAGGAACTAGCTAGGTGATATTCCCAGGGTCATTCAGGCTGTTAGAAAACTTTATTTCCCTATAACTACAGCACTGAGAGTACTGACACATCTACAATGAACTATACATCTAAGATTCACATAATATGGTAGATCAAGGGGCAGAGAGAATACTAACGCATCTCTCAACTGTCATCAACAAAGCTCCCACATGCAACAGAGGGCAATGAACCCAGGGCTCAGGGGCCATGCAGAAGAGAGGGTGGAAAGATTGTAAGAGCCAGGGGAGGAGGTGCATGACCATATGGAACTAGTTTTACAGGCTCCTGGGACATTGTACATAAGAACTTACAGCAATAGTGACAGTATGCACCAGACCCATGCAAATTCAAGCAGACAAAAACCCAGCACAGAACTGTAGAACTGGGCAGCCGGCCCCAATCTTAGATGAAGAATTATTGCACAGCTGATTACTGCTGGGTGAGGAAGAGCTGATCTTCTTTAAGGGAGTGACTCTAGCTAGGCTGACTAGACCCCAGTGGATGAACTTGCACTAAGGTACGTCTTGGTACACAAACTTGACATGGTAGGCTTTAATATAAATGACAGAATGCATGAAATCCACAGGGGGAGGTTATAGGAGGGTGCCATTGGAGAAGGGGGTATAAAGATGATTAAGGTGTTGTTTATGAAATATACAAAAATTCAATAAAAATAGAAAAAAAACAGACATTTCTAAGAAAATACAAGATAAAATCCTAATGACCTTACACAAGGAAGACCGTCAAAAAAAATTTTAAACATCTGAAAACAGGGGCTGGAGAGGTGGCTCAGGGGTTAAGAACACTGACTGCTCTTGTAGAAGACCCAGGTTCGATTCCCAGCACCCACATGGTGGCTCCAAACTGTCCTTAACTCCAGTTCCAGGGGAATCCGATGCCCTCTTCTGACCTCCACGGCATTGAACCACATGGGTGCACTCACATACATGCAGGCAATATACTCATACACATAAAATAAAAATATTAAATAAAATATATTTAAACATCTGAAAGTAAACTTAAAATGAACATACCAAACTACATTAAGAATCTTTGATCATTAAAAGGCACAAAAATATAGGCCACAGTTTACAAGAAGACATATGGCATACAGACAAGGTTTGTTATGTCAGATTTAATTAATTAATTTATTTTTGTATGTATGAATGCTTCGGCTACAAGTATGGAAACACACCTGTGTCATGCAATGCCCACAGAGGCCAGGAGAAGTTATCAGATCCCCTGGAACTGGAGTTAAGGACAGTTGTTAGCCACCATGTGGGTGCTAGCATCTGAACCTGGGTCCTCCCAGAAGAGCAGCCAGTGCTCTTAACTGCTGAACCGTCTCTCCAGCCCTAGAATTTACTTTGTAAGTGCCTAAAGTATAATATTAAGAAGTAGAGAAAATTGGAAGAAAAGGAATTACAAGTGACTGATAAACCTAAAAAGAGGCGTATCCTCATATTCAAGCTCAGAGACAGGAACTAAGATCACAGTGAGGCCCCAGTTCTTGGCTATGAGATTACGAGAAGGACAGCCTGGCAAATGTGCTCATTGTCCACGAGGCAGACCGACAGAAGCACTCATGTACTGAGAGGTGGGAGACAAGACCAGCAGAGCCCCACGGAACAGTATGTTACTCTCCACATAGCAACTGACTCCTACAACTATATCCTGAAAAATGACTCCAAATAGTCACAAAAGACATGGGAAAGAATACTTACAGCAGCTCTATTCTTAACAAGAAAAAGAAGAAACTCCCAATGTTGAGTAATAGAATGAATAAATAGCATAATAATCACTAGCATAATTACTAGTATAAATGATAGTACATAAATAAATGGTGTAAAAACACTTAAATGCCACACTTCAGCACAAAGGGAAAATTCCATTACTAAGTTTAGTAACTGTCAGACAGAAGACTTTTCACCTTGGTTTTCTTAGCCTTCATTTGTGCTTTTGCTAAGAGTGCATACGTGGCGATCTCTGGCCTGTTGCAGGTGACCCCGTCCAAGACCTGGATGGCCTTGTCATGGTTTTCACAAAATAAGTAAATGACAGCTTGCTGTATTGGACTCAACTCAATGAGGCCTGAAAGGAAAGGACAGTTTGTCAACACCGTTGCCAGATAGCAAGGATATGGAATATAGTTATTTTAAGGAAGTCATACAATATCATACTATTATTTTTGTAATATGTACTGACAAATCAATAGTATACTAAAATCTCACCAACAGAAAGCAAAAAGTTATTACACATCAAAAAATTAAAAAATAAGCCCTGTAAGACAAAAATTGAATGAGTTTTTAGCCTTTAAAAAAGATCTCCATTTCATTTTAGAATATATTGTTCTTTGCAGAAAAACTCATTGTTTTTGCTACTAACACTGAGATGTTGGTGCATGCATCTCTAATCTGTATGTATCTGATTATTACTAGTCATAATCAGTTGCACTTGGGTCCTTGGCACTTGTGTATGTCTATAAAGTCACCGGGTCGATTTCAATGGTAATGTTTATCATCTCTACTAATTAATGTGATGTAAATTTCCATGCTTCCTCCTCAAATATAATAAATTTCTTTAATTTGTTGATATTTTGTGTGTGTCTGTGTATATCACACAGAACATCCCAAACCATCTTATTCAACAATACACATGAGTTCAATATTGTATAACTGTATTTATTCAACTGTAAACCTAGAAACTTACAGCTACTTGTGAAAGAGATGTACTCCTGCTGTGGAATGTGTTACTGAATATGGTTAAGCTGTAATGAAATGCTTCTTCTAATCATGTAGTTATTAAAAATTTTTTTAAATTAAAAATAATGTAATCCTGGTATATTTTATAATACGGTCTTTCACAAAATTTACTACATTATGATTCATTTTACTAGTTGACTATGTACATATGAAACTGAAGTTTCAAAATCTTTGTTTTTCAAGTGACTTCCTCAGCCAGGCACGGTGGCACATGCCTTTAATGGTAACACTGAAGAGGTGGAGGCAGGCAGATCTCTGTGAGTTCCAGGCCAGCCTGGTCTACAGAGCAAGTTCCAGGCCAGCCTGGTCTACAGAGCAAGTTCCAGGCCAGCCTGGTCTACAGAGCAAGCTCCAGGCAAGCCTGGTCTACAGAGCAAGTTCCAGGCCAGCCTGGTCTAACAGTCAGAACGTGATTTAAAAAAAAAACCAAGTGAGTTCTTCCTGCCATCAATGAATAGGAATCATAAAGTATGAAAAGATTTGAAGCAGTATTTCTCAAAAGTTCTTATTTTGAATTAGTCGTTACCTTTGTTCATTTCCGCTACTTGATAAATAGTGAACTTTGCAAGATCGTAACACTTCATCATAAGAAGATACTGTCCTCTGGAAGAAATAAGAGCTTTCATTCTAAGCAAGTAAAAAGTAAGTGCTTTTACCGTTTATTGAATTTTTCTTTGACAATTTTAAACATGTATAAAGTGCTTTCTGATTACTGTCACCCTCACCCTCTCCCACCTCCCTCCCACCCCATTACTCACATTTCTCACTAAAGAGCCCATCTCACATTCAGTTTTGTTTTGTTGTTTGTTTTGTTTTGAGACCCACTGAGTTAACAGGGATCTCCTGTGTGTGACAGCGGCTGGGAGGTCATGATGGCACTGGCTGCTCTGTAATGAACCCTGAGCCTTGGAAGCTGTTATAGAAATGCCCTGCTTAGGGCTGAGCACTCAATCATCAAAAGTAATCGTCAGAGGAGACCCCAGGATGGACGGGGGTCGGAGGGGTGTAGACAAGAAACCCCAGGTCCAGCTGAGGCTCTATTAACACTTGATAGCTTCTGGGAAATGGAGAGCCAGTTTGCTTTAGGGGTGGGATGCCTGATAGGTTGACCAGGCTCCAAGGGATGACCCAGACCCAAGAGCATTTGGGGAACACAGATTAAGACTTGATAGGCCTTAAAATAAAAGAAAAATAGTAATAGAAGACATGAGTAGGGGGTAGTAAGGTGGGGTGGAGACGGGGGAAGGCTCTGGATATGATCAAAACACATTGTATGAAATTCTCAAGGTCTCAATAAAAATATCTTTTAAAAGCCAAAATAAAACAAAAAGTAATTATTTTAAAATAAAGTTTCTGATATTACTTAAATTTTTACAATTCTGAAACATCCACCCATATTTACATCTGTGAGTGAAATCGATGTAAAAATTACATATTTTTAATAGTCCAAATAGACCAATTGACATGGAGGTATGATGGAAGGATCAATTTAGGAAATGTGACTCTAAAACAAAATTCTCAGATTTCATTTTTGTATCTGAATTTTAACTGTGATACTTTGTTGCTAAGAAATTATTAAAAGTTAAAGTTCATGAAACATAAAGGAGAAGTCTTTACATAAATTTCTGAAATGTAGTTTAAGAATTACAAGACAAGAAATATCAGAAAGTGTGTCTCACCCCATTTTCCTAGGTCTACAAAGTATATCGTACTGCACTTTCCAAGGTCTATAAAATATGTCTCACTTCATTTTCCTAGGTCTGTAAAGTATGTTGCACTGCACTTTCCTAGGTCTGTAAAGTATGCTGCACTGCACTTTCCTAGGTCTGTAAAGTATGCTGCACTGCACTTTCCTAGGTCTGTAAAGTATGCTGCACTGCACTTTCCTAGGTCTGTAAAGTATGCTGCACTGCACTTTCCTAGGTCTGTAAAGTATGCTGCACTGCACTTTCCTAGGTCTGTACAGTATGCTGCACTGCACTTTCCTAGGTCTGTACAGTATGCTGCACTGCACTTTCCTAGGTCTGTACAGTATGCTGCACTGCACTTTCCTAGGTCTGTACAGTATGCTGCACTGCACTTTCCTAGGTCTGTACAGTATGCTGCACTGCACTTTCCTAGGTCTGTACAGTATGCTGCACTGCACTTTCCTAGGTCTGTACAGTATGCTGCACTGCACTTTCCTAGGTCTGTACAGTATGCTGCACTGCACTTTCCTAGGTCTGTACAGTATGCTGCACTGCACTTTCCTAGGTCTGTACAGTATGCTGCACTGCACTTTCCTAGGTCTGTACAGTATGCTGCACTGCACTTTCCTAGGTCTGTACAGTATGCTGCACTGCACTTTCCTAGGTCTGTACAGTATGCTGCACTGCACTTTCCTAGGTCTGTACAGTATGCTGCACTGCACTTTCCTAGGTCTGTACAGTATGCTGCACTGCACTTTCCTAGGTCTGTACAGTATGCTGCACTGCACTTTCCTAGGTCTGTACAGTATGCTGCACTGCACTTTCCTAGGTCTGTACAGTATGCTGCACTGCACTTTCCTAGGTCTGTACAGTATGCTGCACTGCACTTTCCTAGGTCTGTACAGTATGCTGCACTGCACTTTCCTAGGTCTGTACAGTATGCTGCACTGCACTTTCCTAGGTCTGTACAGTATGCTGCACTGCACTTTCCTAGGTCTGTACAGTATGCTGCACTGCACTTTCCTAGGTCTGTACAGTATGCTGCACTGCACTTTCCTAGGTCTGTACAGTATGCTGCACTGCACTTTCCTAGGTCTGTACAGTATGCTGCACTGCACTTTCCTAGGTCTGTACAGTATGCTGCACTGCACTTTCCTAGGTCTGTACAGTATGCTGCACTGCACTTTCCTAGGTCTGTACAGTATGCTGCACTGCACTTTCCTAGGTCTGTACAGTATGCTGCACTGCACTTTCCTAGGTCTGTACAGTATGCTGCACTGCACTTTCCTAGGTCTGTACAGTATGCTGCACTGCACTTTCCTAGGTCTGTACAGTATGCTGCACTGCACTTTCCTAGGTCTGTACAGTATGCTGCACTGCACTTTCCTAGGTCTGTACAGTATGCTGCACTGCACTTTCCTAGGTCTGTACAGTATGCTGCACTGCACTTTCCTAGGTCTGTACAGTATGCTGCACTGCACTTTCCTAGGTCTGTACAGTATGCTGCACTGCACTTTCCTAGGTCTGTACAGTATGCTGCACTGCACTTTCCTAGGTCTGTACAGTATGCTGCACTGCACTTTCCTAGGTCTGTACAGTATGCTGCACTGCACTTTCCTAGGTCTGTACAGTATGCTGCACTGCACTTTCCTAGGTCTGTACAGTATGCTGCACTGCACTTTCCTAGGTCTGTACAGTATGCTGCACTGCACTTTCCTAGGTCTGTACAGTATGCTGCACTGCACTTTCCTAGGTCTGTACAGTATGCTGCACTGCACTTTCCTAGGTCTGTACAGTATGCTGCACTGCACTTTCCTAGGTCTGTACAGTATGCTGCACTGCACTTTCCTAGGTCTGTACAGTATGCTGCACTGCACTTTCCTAGGTCTGTACAGTATGCTGCACTGCACTTTCCTAGGTCTGTACAGTATGCTGCACTGCACTTTCCTAGGTCTGTACAGTATGCTGCACTGCACTTTCCTAGGTCTGTACAGTATGCTGCACTGCACTTTCCTAGGTCTGTACAGTATGCTGCACTGCACTTTCCTAGGTCTGTACAGTATGCTGCACTGCACTTTCCTAGGTCTGTACAGTATGCTGCACTGCACTTTCCTAGGTCTGTACAGTATGCTGCACTGCACTTTCCTAGGTCTGTACAGTATGCTGCACTGCACTTTCCTAGGTCTGTACAGTATGCTGCACTGCACTTTCCTAGGTCTGTACAGTATGCTGCACTGCACTTTCCTAGGTCTGTACAGTATGCTGCACTGCACTTTCCTAGGTCTGTACAGTATGCTGCACTGCACTTTCCTAGGTCTGTACAGTATGCTGCACTGCACTTTCCTAGGTCTGTACAGTATGCTGCACTGCACTTTCCTAGGTCTGTAAAGTATGCTGCACTGCACTTTCCTAGGTCTGTAAAGTATGCTGCACTGCACTTTCCTAGGTCTGTAAAGTATGCTGCACTGCACTTTCCTAGGTCTGTAAAGTATGTTGCACTGCACTTTCCTAGCTCTATAAAGTGCGTCATATTGCACTTCCCTAGGTCTATTAATCCTGAGAGATGGTAGTTTTGATAATGATAATGTCCAACAGCAAGTTCTACTATATTTGTAATACAATTTTATGTGTCTTTTTTTCTCACTGAATTTATTAAGGGTTCTATCTGATACTTCTGTGGTTACAAACAATAAACATTCAAGATGATAGCCTTTCTTGAGGAGGTATGTGTTTACTACATAGCTAGCCATCTAGAAAGGTCTCAAAGAACTTAACTCTTAGCAATTGCATTCTGATGCAAGGGTAAAGCAAAGTGAAAGATACAGTTATCTTAGATGTACATTTAATATTTAACAAAAACATTTAACAAAAACAAGAACTAAACATTGGGAGGGACATCAGAGACTCAATGTAGAATGAGGAGGCTAGAAGGGTCATGAGCGAGCTCCCTAGAGCTTGTTGAGATGTCAAGCTATTGCCAAGAAGAATTCAATTTCTGTGCACATACCTTATTAAATATAATTGGATTCCATCTGGCTGAAGGTGGATAGCACGAGATAATTCACTTACTGCATTTTTCAATTTATGCAGCTATTGAATGACAAACAGAAACTTAGATTTTAATTGAACTAATTGCTTCTTTTCTGATATAGAGCCCCCCACACACAATTTCTTAGGGAACTTTTGAAGAAGCATCCAAATACATATAATTTTTTTAGAGCAAATATAATTCAGAAAAGTAAAAAAGAAACACTTAGGATGCCAAGTATTTTTTGTTTTGTTTTGTTTTATAATTATTTATCTCTGAGGCGAGGAGTGTTGGTGGATGTGTTTAATCCGCATTCAGATGGCAGAAATAGTTCTCTGTAAGTTCAAGATCAGTCTATTCTACAGAGCAATTTCCAGATCTGTCAGGGCTACATAGTTGAAACCTTCCAGCAGAAAAAAAAGCATTATTCATGTTCAGTTTTGAAGACTGATTACAAACACCCATTCATAAGTTATTTTACACTACTGTCACTTATGTCAGACCTCCTAGTTTACGTATATTCCTCTTTCACTTAACTTTTCACGTTTTCTCCCTCAATCATAGCATCTGTTTCACAAAAAGTCACACAGTTAATAAAACAACATACGAAAGGTAACATGATATATAAAAGTAAATTACACTTAAAAATAAAGTAGAAAAAGTCTGGAAACAATATTAGTAAGTGAATGAATAAAACAAAATATAAGGATGGTGCAAAATCAGCCCGTGGAAAACGGATGATGCAGAGACCCGAAAGCTCAGTGCCTTGCCACAACGGGAGGAAAATCACCCCACACCTACCACCCCCTCCAAGGCTCAGGGACTTTGGAAGAAGAGGTTGGTGGAAAGAATGTAAGAGCCTGATGAAGGGGTGGAGTGTTAACTGGAAGTGTCCTCCAATCACCATGCCAGCAAGCTATAGTCACACCTCCTTCACATGCTCATCAAGGAGTTGAGCCCGGGAGTCAGTTACCTCTCCCACTCAATCAATTGATCTTAGCTGCTGCATGTTGGGGGGTCAAAGGATATATAAGCTGAGAACACCAAGAGGCACCTCTCTCACCATTTTGTGCAGCTGTCGGTAGGTCACAGGATCTGTATTTGAGTGTGGACTTTATGGTGCAGCAGTAAATGTGGGGCACCCACTCTTCTGTAAATAAACCCCTATGCTTTGTTAAAAAAATAAATAAATAAAATATTTTTTTAAAAGAATGGTGCCAAAAGAAGCCTTTTGATATCCATATGGAAAGGAAACTTTCATTCTTCCCTTGTCAGAGAAACATAATCTAAATTTGTACACATCAGGGACAAAAATCAACTACCACTGGAGATACTACCAAAGGATCACTGCACAGACCCAGCAAAATTAACCTGACCAAGCACTAAACATAGTGGCAGGATGCTGAAGAAGAAAGACAATACCCCAAACTAATTATACATGGAAATAAACAGGACTAGAAATAGCACAAACTATTTGGAGAAAACAGTGGGTAGAATCAAAAAGAAGTCCAGAAAGAGAAAGTCTGAGATTTGCTTAAATAAATTTGAGAATCTCTGTGGAACTTTAGAACTACTGCTTCTTAAATTCCCATTGTTCATGTTATATAATTGATAAACTATCTACTATGTTCATATTACTGCAAAGATGTATATGTTCTTATTCGTGTGATCACATACTTAAGAAAGCAACTTAAAAGAGGGAGAGTTTATTTTGGCTCATGGTTTGAAGAGGGAAAGTCCATGACTGTGGAGAAAGCATTGTGGAAAGCCATAGGCTGCTACATGGTCATGGAAACATAAGCTTGGCACATCTAACTCCTCAAGAGACCAGGCAGAAAAGGCCTAACAGAAAGTGGGGCCAGGTTATAAAGCATCAGGAACTATGCACTTCCTTCATGGACACTCCACCTTCTAAATGTTCTACAACCTCCCAAAACAATGCCACTGACTGGGGACCAATTTTTGAAACATGACACTAAGGGGACATTTCACATTTCACCGTTAACACTCCATCCTTGGCTCCATACACTAGTGGTCATCACATAACGCAAAATTCATTCAGTTTAACCTCAAAAGCTTTTTATGCTTACATTTCCAATATTATTCAAAAGTCAAAAATTCAAAACTTCTTCCAAAACTCAAGGAAATCTGTTAACTGTGAAACTCTGTAAGCTCAAAAAGCAAGTCATTTACTTCTAACATACAATGTCATAGTGTACTCATTCCCATTCCAAAACAGAGGAGTGAGGCAGAGCAAGATAAAACCAAGCAAAACTGAAATGCAGTACAGCAAACACCAAACCCTACACTTTAGGTCCAACATCTGTAACCCCTGATGACATCCTCTATGCTCCAACAGGCCTGGGTAGCACTACCTCTCCAGCCCTGTTGCTTGTGGCACACATGGCTCCTCTCTTGGGCCATCTCCACCTATGTCTGGAGGTTTCCTGAGTACACATCCTGTATTTCTGATATCTCTAATACTGTGAATGTCCACTGCAACTTGGGTTTTACCTTCACAGATTTATCAACAACTAACTCCACGCTACATGTTGTCTGGCCTCAACAGCTTTCTGGAACCGTGGTGCAAAACTTTATGGATTTCTTATGCTTACACTTTGCATGCCTGCAAAACAAGTACTACATAGAAAATGGCAAATTCTGCTGCCAGCTTAAGATATCACCTGGCCCTACTGGAACACAAATGCAGTGGCCTCTATGTGCCTTCACGGTTAAACCTTGGACAATACCTCCCTAAGTGTCCAGTTTTGTAACAGGGTACCCTAAGGGCTCTTTTTAGGTGCTCTCCTTTCAAACTAGTTTTACACTGTTATACACCCTGAGGCTCTCAATGGACGGCGTCTTGCCCTCAAGTCGTATTTCCTCTTGTTGAAGTGCACAGTCCACGGTTTCTTCTTAGTGATGCTAAACTCTTTAGCAATTACAGATGTTCTGTCCACACCTCTTTGCCTGCAACTTTAAACTTGCTCATGCTCTATACTTCACCAAACTTCACGTTTCATATTCTTCTGCTACCTTTTGCTGCAAAGTTGACTAAAAGCAGTCAGTAATCATGCCACAGCCTGGATGTGATGGTATCTTAAAATTTTCTCAACAGCCTTTTCTGTCCTCCGTGGGCATTGCATAACACAGGGTGCGCTTACCTACATGCAGGCATAACACTCATACGCATAAAAATAAAAGAATAAATGAAATATTTTTTAAAAATATTATTTAAAAAATTTCCCTGTCACACAGTTTAGTCTGTTACTTTTAATTCAGCCTCACTCGGTTTCTCAGGTAAGATCATACTATAAAAACTCAAAGCCCATCTCTACTGACTACTTCCTTCAGGTACACAACATCCCAAAGTAGTACTACCAGCAAGAGACCAAATATTCAAACATAAAAACCTGGGGTGGGGGCATTTTGCACCAAAACCATAATGCTATCTATGCAGTCAGTAAACTCTGGTTTTGGACAGATAGAATTCACCCTGAATTTTGAAGCTTTCTTGGGGTTGGACCTTTCCAGTAAAGACTTAACTCACAAGTAGAGTATATTTTTATATATGAAAAGTCTGATTTAAAAGAGGTTTTTACATTAGATTATATTGTACATACTCTACATTGTTTTTCTGAATATAATTTTCTGACTTTTTAAAAATTATTTGTTTAATAAACATATAATTAGAAGAAGCATTTCATTACAACAGCATTGACATATTCAATAACAATTTCCAGAGCTAAGATGCATCTCTTTCAAAATT